TGATGACCCTGAAGGTGATCAGTCGCTCGCCGAGGCCTATGCGACTGTCCTCCAACACAAGCAGTTCAAGAAAAAGATGAATGGAGGAAAAGGGAAAGGCGGTGGAGGTGGAAGATTCAACTTCAAGGGCTCTGGCGAGGTGACCTTCGACGCCAAGCCAAGGAGAACAGGCGACAAGCCGTGCAGTTTCTCAAGTCAGTGACGCCTTGCACTTCCTGTGGACAACGTGGTCATTGGAATGGAGATGACATCTGCCCCAATGCCAAGAAGTCGTCCAAGGGTAAATCCAAGAAGAAGCCTTCGACGCCGAGCTCACCGAAGAAGAAGCCTGCGACCAACCTTTTCGTTTTGCATGATTCTTTGGAGTCTGCGGATGAGAAGACCCAGTTCATGTGCCTTCCCAACAAGCTGCCCAACAACGACGTTGCAAAGAATGTCAAGACCTCCGAGTTTGACCTTGCTCTCAAGAATGACCTGTGCCTTGGGAATGACATGCCTCCCAAGTATGACCAGGTGCCTGCGAATGACATCGCTCCTGTGAATGACATGGCCCATGAGTATGACTTGGTCCCAAAGACCATTGCAGCCCATGTCACCAACGAGCCCAATGCGTATGCGGACGAAGCGTCCAAAGCCTCTGATGCCACTTTTGTCAATGACCGTACAGTCCTCTTTGAGTCAGAGGGTGGCAACAATTCAGATGGCAGTTTCACTACTCCCTTTTCGTTTTCATCAGTGCATGAGGTGCTGATGGTGCTGAAAGATACAACCCTGTGCGAGCATAGTAGTTTTCATGGTGGAGATGAGCGCCAATTCCACCGTGGCGCAAATGGATACTCACGCTTTGTGACGTGCAAGGAAGACTCTTGCGACAAGACCGTCATCAAGGCCAAGCGCAAAACACCTCACGAGCTCTGGAGCTACTTGGTCCAGATCGCCTTGTGCACCAAGTGGGGACAAGCTGCCAGGTCCCGAGCTTTGTTCAACACCGTCTGCAAAGTTCGAGGTGAAGCTGATGAAGAACGACGTGGTCTTCGCCTTCCTCTTTCAGATGATGGCCGATCAGTTTCTTTGCCTGGTATGCCAAGGTCTTCGGCTTCAATGACTTCGAGAAAGACGCCTTCTGAAGCTCAAGTACCTGGATGGGATGTCGTCAGCGAAGCTCCTTCGAGCGCTTCTGGCTATGGTGCTCCACGGGTGGCCAAGATTGTCCGTGAGCAAGAACCAGTTTGCTGGATCTACGGCATCAAGCTTTCCATGAACCAGGACTTGCCTGCGTTTCCAACGTTGGATGACTCAGACCTTGATGTGCTGCAGCCTCTGCCTTCAGATGCCTCCTTGCTTGGCTCTGGAACACCCTATGAAGGACTGCAGTATGACCAAGTTGCGTCCTCAGCAGAGTCTGCATGGTACTGTGCCCAAGTGTTGGACTATGTTTTGGATGGCCGAAATGCTCTCCATCCAGAAATCTACCGTTTTGCCTTTTACCTGTTTGGCCGGGTGAAGTTGGTCCACAGCGCTGGCATGAGATGTATCAAGTCAGGTGCTGCACGTCCTGACAAGCGACCTGCAAACCCTGATGACATGGTGGCAAACCGCCACATCCGAGTTCCACTTCAGCATGATCCCAATCACCCTGAGATCTTGCAACTTCATGACTGTGAAGTGATGATGGTTGAAATGCCCGATGACAATGATGCAATTGCCCAAGCCTATGTGGCTTCCGATGCTGATTCTCCTGGACTTGCAATCCTCGACAGTGGGTGCACTCGCACCATGCACGGCAAGCAATGGGCCGAGAACTTTGAAGCTGCACTTGTCTCCTTTGGACTTTCGCCCAAAAGCAGAGTCAAGAACCAACTCTTTGCTGGGGTTGGAGGTCAAGTTGCAAGCACCACTGTCAAGGTCTTTCCCATCGGCATCCAAGGAACACATGGCGAGATCCACTCAGCCGAAACACCTGGAGCAACACCACTCCTGCTCTCACGCCCTTTCATGGAAGAATTGGGTACGGTTTTGGATTTGGGCAAGGGCACGGTTTCCTTCACCAAGATCGGCGTTTTGGACTTGCCGCTGATCAAAACCTCACGTGGACATCTAGCAATCAGTTTTCTGGACTTCAATTTGGAGAAGTTAGATGATTTCACCACTGAGGATCCTCATGAAGGATACCTCCAAGATGAAGTTCCCGAAGATTACGTTCATGATCCCATGTTGGATCGACCTCCTGGCGTCAATCCTGATGATTGGCTTGACCAGCAGTATGAACTGGAGTTCTTGCGTGCCGAGGCAGCCAACTGTGATCAAGTTTTAGCTGAGATCGCTGCCGATCGAGAAGCACGTGCTGCTGCTCAAGGCCTTCATGCTGCCCAAGATGATGGCCCAACTTGCGAGGATGCGTTTCTGTTTGAGTCCCTCATGCAAGAGCAGCCCAACACCATCCGGAAGGCCACTCACAAGAAGGCCAAGAAACTCCATGCAATGTCCAATGCCGTTGACGGCGATGATTGGCGTTTCTTCCGGGTGCTGGCCGGCAAGACTCCAGCTCCGAAGTCACCTCCCTATGGAAAGTGCTGGATGAAACAGCTCTTTGCAGGACAAATGGGTTTGACTCTCCTGCTTGTGGCATATATGGACTTTCGGTTGGAGTGCCTTTGGACTTTAGCACTTCCAACTGGGATGCCACTACCAAGGATGGACTTCGGCGCCTCAACCATGACTTCCAAGTTGAGGATCCCTACTGCACTGTCCTGACACAACCTTGTGGTCCTTGGGGCAATTGGGCACGATTCAACGTAGCCCGCGGTGGTCCTGCCGCATTGACAGTTCTTCAACTGCAAGAACGTGGCCGACCAATTCTGAAGTTGGTGAACGACACGATTTGCAAGCGTGTCAAGGCCAAACGACATGTCTTTGTCGAACAGCCCTCTGGATCCTCATGGCTTGACGAGCCTGAACTTGAAGGTGTCAGAGCTTTGATTCAGTCCGGCGACTTGATCGTCATCAAGGCTCATGGATGTCAACTTGGCTATGAAGATGTTGACTCTGGACTTCCTCACTTCAAGCCTTCCACTTATGTGACATCCATGATAGCAGCAGAAAGCCTTTTCCAGGATTCTTCTTGCGATGGTTCTCATCAACACCAACACCTTGAAGGAGCCAACTCTCAAGGTCAGCGCACTGCCCAAGCCTCAGTTTGGCCTGACAAGCTCAACAAGCGTGTGCTGGAAACCATCGTGCAACAAGCTGCGATTGAGCAAGCAACCCATGAACAAGCTCAAGATGTTTTTCCTGCAGAAGTTCGCCGACTTCCTCAAGTTGGAAAGAGTCCCAAAAGAAGGAGGAAAGGACGGGTCACCACCTTGACCAGCCAATATGGTGGAGCCCCTCCGGTCTACTTGAGACCCTCTGAACCACTTCAGCCCGCGATCCAAGATGGAGATCCCTTTGCTGAAGTTCCTCCTGACGAAGACGATGCTGATGTGAGGGCACGACAAGCCTCTCAACTTGAGCCTTTGCTCCATCGAGCTGAAACCCAACGACGTGAAGAATGGCTCAAGATCGACCCTGACATCCGCAAGATTCTCAGAACTTTGCATGTCAACTTCGGCCATCCCACCAACATCACCTTGCAGAGGATTCTCCGCCGACAAGGTGCAAAACCAGAAGCAGTTGCTGGTGCCGAGCTGTTGTCATGCGATGCTTGCGGTGAAAGTATCAGAAGGCGACGCCCCAAACCAGTTCGTCTTCCCAACAAGTATGTCTTCAACAACCACTTGCTTGTAGATGTTTTCTATGGAAAGGACATTGAGAACGAGTCTTTTTGCTTTCTCAATGTGATTGATGATGCGACTGGATTTCAAGTCGTCAGCTGTCTTGGAACTGTTCGTGGCCCACCTGCGTCCAAAGCTGTTCTCAGGCACTTTCTGACGTCATGGACTTCATGGGCAGGCCTCCCTCAGTCGATCCAAGCTGACTTGGGGAAAGAATTCATGGCTGACTTCACTGCCTACATGAAACAGTTTGGCGTTGAAACTGAGAACATGCCGCCCGAAGCCCCATGGAAGAGCGGAAAAGTTGAACGGGCCGGTGGCCTATGGAAGGACATCCTCCTGCGGACTGTCCATGAGATGCAGCTGCGTGGTCTGGACGACATGATCCTCGCCACGTCCATCATCACTCAATGCCGCAACTCCTTTCCTAGAAGCAACGGCTACTCGCCGAACCAATGGGTTTTAGGCCAACCAGAAATCAGACTGGCTGGTTCACTTTTGAGCGACGAAGAATCCCAGCGTTTGGAGATTCTTGAGGCCGCTGAAGACCCAAAGTCAGCAATGGCCAAAACTTTGAGTATCAGAGAAGCCGCAAAAGTTGCCCAGATCAGACTTGACACTGACTCTCGTGTGCGACGCGCTTTGCTTCACCAGTCCACACCTACGAGAGGGCCTTTTCCTGTGGGAAGCTATGTTTACTTCCTCCGGCTTCAGATGCCCAAAGGCAGTCGACGAAACTACAAATGGTTTGGTCCAGCCCGAGTCATTGGCTGCGAGCTCAGATCTCCCACTCGACTTCAAGATGATGAAGAGCTTCCCACCGATGGTGGACAACCCAGAAGCTATTGGCTCAGGTATGGTTCATCAGTTGTTTTGGTGACAGATGAACAATTGCGTTTTGCCAGTGAAGATGAGCTGATTGCCGCTCACACAATCCCACAAGAAGTTTTGGAGCCTGAATATGCACGAGGAGCAAGAAACTTTGTTGACCTGCGAGGTCCACTTGCTGTCCCTGCTCAACCTGAAGATCAAGGACCTCTTGCACTACCAGCTCCAACAACTGGACCACCTGTCCTACCTTTCCCTGCGACTGCCGATGAACCACAGTCTCCTGGATACTCTCCCAGCGAGTTTGCACCTGATGCTGAAGGAGATCAACCTATGCAGCCGACTCCAACAGTGAATGATGAAGTTCCTCAAGTTCCTGCTGATCCTCCTGATCAGACAATGGGTCAAGATGACCAACAACAACAGCCTGCCCATGGCCGGCAGATGAGCACGATTTCTGGAGCTCCTGAACCAGAACCACAGCCAGTGAACACACCAACAGGTCAGGCACAACTTGGACTTGGACTTCAGCCTGTACCTGTCCCTTTTCTTGCACCTCAGACTGGCAACCTCCAAACAGCACTTCGAGATCCAGATCGTCTTGATGGCTATCGAGCTGTCCAAAGACAACATGGTCAACAGCCACAGCGACCTTACTTTGTAGAAGACGATGATTTTGAGTGCGAAACAATGCCTTCCGTTTTGAAGAGCAAGCGTTTGGAGAAGATGCTCAACTATGAGGATGAGGTGTTTTCCCCATCCCAGTCAGAAGAAGAGCAAGAACAATGTTTTGTGGAAGTTTCTCAAGGGCCAGGTGATGTTTTTCTCACTGGAAAAGCTGTGCGATCTGAGATTTCTTTGAAAGATCTTTCACCAGAAGATCGTGCCAAGTATGATGTCAGTATGGCGAAAGAGTGGTCATCCTGGCAAAAGTTCAATGCTGTAGAAGTCCTTTCACCTCAGCAGATTGAGGACCTGCCCGAAGATGCCAAGATCATCGGGACCAGATGGGTCCACACTGACAAGAACCAGAAAAAGCGCCTCATGTCTGCCGCTCTTCAAGGTAGAACTGGAAAGTCACAAGCTCAAATTCAGAAAGAGTTTCCACTGGAAGCAAAGAGCCGTTTAGTTGTCCAAGGTCACCAAGAGACCGACACAGGTATCAGAAGCGATTCACCAACGGCCAGTCTTCTTGCTTTCAATTTGGTTTGTGCAGTTGCTGTTATTCAGAAGTGGATTGTCATGGCTTGTGACGCATCCACTGCCTATCTCCAATCAAATGGCATCAGCCGCTTGCTGCTGCTCAGGCCACCGAGACCACCTCCTCCTGGAATTTTGCCTCATGATCTTCTTCGAGCTCTTGGCTCAATTTATGGTACCAAAGATGCTGGCAGAGCTTGGTGGAAGAAGCTCTACAAAACCCTGAGGTACTATAACTGGATCATGTCGCGCCTTGAACATGCGCTCTTTTTCCTGGTGGTCGATGGAAAACTTTGTGGCATTCTCATCACACATGTCGATGATTTGTTTTGTGCTGGAGAAGGTAAACAGTTTCATGATTCCATTGAGGCCATGCAAAAGGACATCTATTTAAAGATCAACAAGGGCAAGTTTCGTTTTTGTGGAAAGAACGTTTTCCAGCGTGATGATTTTTCCATTGAGGTTGACCAGTACGATGCCATCGAGGCGATCGACTACATGGTGTTTGCCGCCGACCGGCGCAAAATGGTGAACAGCCCCCTGACGGAGGCAGAGCAGTCTTTGTTCAGAGGCCTCATAGGCCAGATGGGTTGGGTCACTCGCCAGTCTAGGCCAGACCTCATGGTGAATGTTAGCGTTGCTGCCCAAAGTATGAGTTCCCCAAAAGTGAAGGATGTGATCAATTTGAACAAAGCAGTGAAAGCCCTCAAAGAGAGCTACGAAGCCAAATGGAATTTCATCTACAACGACGAAATGACTCTGGAGAATTGCTGCGTTTTCGTTTTTGCTGACAGCAGTTTTGCGAATGGCGAAAATTTGAAGTCCCAGTGCGGCTTCATCACTGGTCTTTCTGTTTCTGCACTGAAGGATGGATCCTCCTGCCCCATCATGATCCTCGAAACGTATTCAGGTAGCATCAAAAGAGTTTGCCGCAGTACTCTGGCTGCTGAATCAAATGGATTTTTGAATGGAGTTGAAGCTGGGGACTATTTGAGGACCCTGCTGATGGAGATCACGCATCCAGGTGAGTTCACGGACGCCAAAAGTCTGGAACAGACGCTCAACCGCGATGCAGGTCAGCCAACTGACAAACGTGTCCGCATTCTCGTGTCACAAGTGAAGGAACTGATAGGTGAAAACACGTATGAAGATGACTCTGATGCTTTTGCAATCTGGACGGACACGTCCCAAATGCTAGCTGATGTTCTCACCAAGCTTGGTTGTGAAAGGGAATCCCTTTTGCATGCGTTAGAGTGTGGCCGATGGCAGTTGGAGCCCACAGAGCCGGCCAAGCTGCGCAAGGTAGAAATCAGAGCTGGCAGACATGCCAGGAAAGCTGCCAAGAAGGCAGCCAGCATTTCCAATCCTGTTGTGGCTGAGGACGGGTGTGAAACGGAAACCTATAAACATGCCACATGACTGTTTCCATGCTGCACCAGCCACTCCAGGTCACCACATGTTTCCAACAGTGCCTCGCACAGGGCGCCCTTTTCGGATCAAAAGAGCTGCTGTCTCTCAGCTTCGCTGCAAGACTGAGTTTGATAAGATGTTATAAGACCTATTGTGGTGGTCTATTTTGATCTTTTGTTGCATATTTCATCATATGTCCCCCTCTTGAAAAAGGCTGCCCGGATGGTTGGCAAGCGCCACAAAAGAGGTACACGATGGGCAGATCAACAACAGTCCAAACTCGGGACCGTACAACGCCTTGTTGGGCTTCAACGAGCCAGAAACGCAGTGGCAGTTTAAGCAGGGCCGTTGATCCGTGGTTGGGTTGGGACATGGGATCATGCGCCACATATATGGGATATGTTCTGGATATGTTTAACTTTCGAAGCATGGACTGATTGGGGAAGGGTAGGTCAATAGATGTCAATAGGTAGATGTTCGTTATTTGAATAGAGAAACGAAATTGGGTTCTTGGGTGATCAGGGAGGATCTTCGAGGGGTATACAGACTTCGTTAAATTGGATCAAGTGTTTTCTTTTTTGTTTTTCAATGTTTTCCTTGTTTGTTTCCTGTTTCTTTTATGTGTTCTTTTTCTTTTATTTTGTTCCGGTCATTTTTCTCTTTTCCCGTCCTGTTTTTTTTGTCCTTTCTTCCCTTGTTGCCTTTTGTGCCTCCGTCGTTTCCTCCTGCTTTTCCCTTTCCTTCTTCTTTTCCTTGTTGTTTGGAAGCCTTGGCATTCTTTGAACGTGGTGCTAAGTCAAATGCAACAGTTGTAGCAAAGGAGTGGTGCCTATGAAATGCACCAAAAAAATCCAGGAAGTACTCTTGACATCTCTTGACATTGCTCAAAAACATCCCAGAAAACTAGCTATTCAGATCAGATCTGGGTGGTTCATTGCGTGCCTCCTTAAACAAACGGTTTGAGTGTTATTTTATTAACAAAACCTTGGCTGATGTATATAATGACATGGATTCTTTGGGAAACCTTGCAATTTCAAGGATTCTTTGGGAGCTAGCTAAGTGCCAAACACATGCAACAACTACTGTAGAGAAATCGTGCACTTGGGTACCATCCCAACAAACCAACTCTTTGCCCATCCGAGACATGCACATTGATGAGACCCTACCATCTACTACTTGCCAACGGATGTATAACCCGAACTCCCCCTCCTATGAGCAGTCATACCAATTGAAAGAGTTACAGTACATGATGTTACATGTTCTTTCCCGTCCTACTATGGCCCCAAAGATGTGATTTCATCCCCTACTAAACGATGGTTTCGTTTCGGGAGTCTTAATATTGCTGGTTACTGTATATCCCCTTCAATATTCCCATTATATCCCCGTTATACCATCATACCCCCATTATACTTATAATTTATAATTATACCACATGGCATGTCTCAGCCTGCCGCCTGAATCACAGGCCTCAGACGCTTCTGAGTGAAGGGAAACAAAACAAAAACCACTATTATACCTTATACCACCATTATACCACCATCAATTATACCACAATTATACCATCATTATACCACCATTCATCAGTTCTCCTGTCCAAACCCCTGGTGGTGTCCAAACCCATCATTGCCAGCATCAGGATATCAACTCCCAAGCCCACCTCAATCCCTGGGAGGCGGCAAACATGTGGCGCCTTGATGCTGACCGGAAGAGCGGAAGATACGGTGGATGGGCCAGCGAAATCCTGCAGTTTATCCCACTATTTATAGGGTTTCAACCATCCTTTTGGTGGTGCAGGATTTCGCAACCATCCACATATATACCCCCTGGTAATTTAACATAGCTATTGAAAATGGCCATAGAAATAGTGAGTTGTCCCATTAAACATGGTGATTTTCCATAGTTATGTTAGTTTACCAGAGGGTATATGTCCCTGGGTTTTGGCCATTTCTTGGGGTCAATGTTGTCCAAGGTCGGAAACTGTCCACATGTTGGGGCAGAAGATGCATGTCCTCTGGTTAAGCAACATAGCTATGGAAAATCACCAGTATCACCAGTTTCAAATATATATATGTATATGTATATGTTTGATAGGTAAATCATCAAAGGAAATATGCAATCTACATACCATAGCAATGTTAATTTACTGGAGGGTAATAACCTTTATTTCATCATTATCCCATTAATAATCCATTATATCCTAAGTTTTTTTCCGTCGTTTTTGTGGGAGGGTAAAAACAGTGTGCACCTGAACCAGTGACATGTTGGAAGCGCCAAGGTTGGGTGCCAGGACCTGGGTGTTTTCAAAGGCACCTGATATACTCCCAAGTTCATCATCAGTTTTCCAATTTCTGTAGACCATTTGCTGAATTTGCGGTAGATTCCATTTTCAGACACAGCAAAAAACCACCTCAGACACACAAAAAAAAAACATTTTTGTTTGTGAGAAAACCAAACGTCCAGAGCGAAGTGTTCAGAGAGGACATGGTTCACCACTTTCTCTGGATGTTCAACTCAGATTGCAGGGCGCTTTCCTTTGACCCACACGCGTAGTATGATGAACCATGACTTCGCAAAAGCAAAAGATCCTAGCAGCCAACGGATTCACTTAAATGACTAAATAAATATCACCTATAGATATATTTTATATATATAATATATATATATATACATGTATATAGTTGATGGTCAACCAATTTATCAATCTAAAATATGTTTCATCCCATGGTGACTTAATGGATTCTAGTCCTTTCCCCCATGAACCGGTGCTCCAAGGCCGCTGGTGGAGCAAGTAGCCCAAAATATGGGCGTTCAAACCTTGGTGAGCCCTGCAATGTGTGGAGACATCGGTTTCTTGGGCGAGAAAAAATGTTTGGAAATCAACCCTCAATGGCAAATGGTATGTTAATAGTATATATAAGCTTATGATACCAATGTCAATGGTATATATCGAACATATTAAAGGATATTAATTCGATTATATTCGATTAATTGTGCAATTAATGGATATTCATGGTATGTGGTAGATAGTAATGGTCTGGTATAAATGACCAACAATGGGGTTTACTGGGGATTAACCAACACACAAAAAACATACTGTATATCCCTATTATAGGGATATATATATATTATGGGCGTGGGAATATTCATTGGCAACTCAATTATGATTATACAATGGGATTTAGAACCAATTTGATATGATACTTGGATGAGTCTTAAAATGGTCAGTATAATACAGTCTACCCCTATTTATTTCCCTTGAAAGATAGGGAACATAATGAGTAGCCAGTGGAATTATAGAATATCGATTTGGCATGGTGTCACCAGCGGATCAAAAGTTCACGGACTTTCTGAACATTGTTTGAATACCAATGTGTTGGCAGATTTCCGACATATTTTTTTGTGCTCCGTAGTTTGCTGGCATTGTGACAAAAGAGTGCAATAGACATGAGTGACGATGCAAATGTCTCCGGATATCTCCGCTTATCCTGCAATTGATTGAAACACAAGTGTTTTTTTGACGTTTTGACCTTGCAGGCAAGGTACCTGTCATGAATCGAGCCAGCACTTTTCTTTGCAGAACCCGGCTGGTGAGAATTCAAGTCCATTGCTGGGGTTTTATACATGTCAAGTGCAGGGACATGTGTCGAAATTTTGAATTGGCATACTGCATCTAGAAACATAATGCTCATATTTCTCCATTGGCAGAAGCCGCTAGGCAGACTTATTAATATTTGATATATTTGATATCGTAATATTTGATATATTTGATATTATTTTTTTATGTGAACTGCACAGTTTCATGTTATGTTTTCCTAAAAAGCGCGATCACGATCCCAATTGACTTTTACATCTTTGGGATTGGTAGGTTAAGCCTCAAGTCAAGCTGACAAGGTGGGTAATTACATAGTAATGAAAGGGATGAAACATGAAGATTACCCACCAAAAATGGGATATTGACTCCCATGGTTACTGTTCAAAATTTAAACACGTGCTATTATATCTAGAATTATATTTCATGCACAACGTGTATGTATATATATATATATTACATATATTCATTAATATACATCAACATATTGGCTTATATATATATATATATTATACGTATATATATATATATCATATGAAACTATATCATTTTATATTATATTAGATTCTACATATTCATATTCCATAGTTTGTTGGCTACCACCGGTCATCCCTGAGACCAGCCAACTGCCCTCTGGTGTCAACCTGGCTGGAATTTCTGGCAGTGAACGGAGGTTTCAATCGGGAAATCATATGAAAATCATAGGAACATGTGGGAAGATCAACTAAAAATGAAGGTTTATGGGAAAATCAACCCAAAGAATGGGAAAATCGATGGGGAGATTTTCCAGCACGCCACCTTTTAACACCGGAAGTTCATGGAAGTTCTGCTTTTCGAGGCAAGGGAACATCCTGGATGGGCAGCTTCCTGAACGCTTGCCAGAACTGTCGCATCGATGCCATTGCCATCCACAGCTACTGGTGCACGCTGGCACCGTGGTGGATGTGGGAGCGGTTCGCGGTTTGGAGCTATGGTTCTATCATGTTCCATCCCCAACATGATAAGTAGGAACTGACAGGAACTGACAGGAACTGACATAGCTATTGAACATGGCCATAGAAATAGTGGATTTACCCATTAAAAATGGTGATTTTCCATAGTTACGTTAGTTTACCAGAGGGCCGGACGTAGGAACTGACAGGAACTGACCGGTTCATGGGCTCCGGGATATGTTTGATATGGATGAGTAAAAAGATATGTTTAGATTCAGGTTTGATCTTTGAGATTTGCAAAATCCCTTGGCCCCCAAATACCACCCTAGAAACGGTGCAGTCCAGTATCGGATCTATGCTCCAGCTGGAATTTCTATGGGTCATGGGCCACCCGTGATGAATCCATCCATGTTTGGAACGAATCATTTCGGCTACCCACATGGGTACAAGCGACTGGAATGATTTGGGGATCAGGATCAACCCCCAAAAAAATGGGGCCAAGATGGGCCAAGATGGGCCAAGCAACTAGCACCACTGGGGTAACAGTCACTGACATCCAGTGACAGGATGGGCTTCGAAGTTTGGTGGACAGCTACCGCCACTTCGGCAAGAAGATTTGGCTCACCGAGCATCGTGGCAGATCAGGACATGGGATGCACATATGTTTGGGGAGGTCATATGCCGCCATTTTTGTTGAGGAGTTCTGGGTTTTCTCTTGATAGCGATCTCTCTTCCAATAGAGCTCGAGGGATGTCGCATGTCAGCCCCAAGTCACAGGGTCGTTGAGGCTTTGGAGTTGATGGAAGGAGTTTCTTTCTTGGGTGATTCACATTGACCGCATCTAGTGCAAAGTGGACTACGGGAGGTCATCAACATATTCGGTTGGATTATTCCAATTCCAGCAGTAAGTTTCCCTAATATTGAATACTCCCCGATGGAAACTCTGTTTAGTCTGTTTAGTATTTGATATGTTTGGAATTTATTTGGATATAATATATATATATATTATTATTTTTATATGTGGATCCAAATATTATTATATTATTATATATGTTTAGTTTTGATACTATTATATGTGGATCCTTTTCAATATCTTCATTTTGGAGGTCCACTTTGTGTTGAAAACTCTCTCCGAGGTTTGCCTGTGCAGATCAGAATTTTGACGTGTCGATGAATGGCCAAATTCGCTTCATGAAAGAAGTGGTGCCGTGGTTGGAGCAGGAAGACATCATCGAGAAATATGCCTGGTTTAGCACCTGGGCACTCAGAAAATCAGGGTTGACACAAGTCGAACCAGGAGAAGATGTGAAAACATGTGGTGCTTTTTACCACTCAATTCATGGGACGATGATCGCCCGTGCGGCTAGTTTTTTGGTGATAGTGGCGAATTCGGATCCCAGATGACTGTCATCTCCTGGAAGGAACATATGACCAAGCGACTGAGGGACTTATAAGCCTAGATTAGAAGGACACCATCTTATACAATGAAAGCAACAATAATAATAGTAATAATAATAATAACTATTACAGCATCACTGGGTTTGTAGCTTCACGTAGCTTCCTTCACTTTATCTTTTTCCTCATGTCTCCTCTTTCTTTTGGCGCCGTTGTTCTGTTTGTTCAGGCTACTTCACCAACGAGTGGCGGTATGGCATTACCAATCCCAATCCAGATGCAGGGCTGGTCCATCAAAATGGTGACCTTTCGGCGCTGGGCCGAGTTTATGTGAACCTGGGCACTGCCAGGCGTCTTGCGGACGACGTGAACGCCAGCGCTGGCGATCCCATTTTCGCGTGACCGATTTTGTGCCAGGGCATCTTCTTGGGACGCGCCAAGACGTGAACGACTGCAGTTTTAATATGTTTAATATTCCCAGTTGGTTCCCGATATTTGGTTGGTGACACCCAAGAAAAGGAAAGGGATGGATAATAAGGGATATTAGATGATATTAGATTATATTAGATGATATTAGGGTATTGATCGCCTAATAGGCCACTGTGTCGGGAGAAAAGGGGTAAAGGATGGGTAAAGGTTTCATAAGTTTAATACGTTTTGCTTCAATTGACTGGTAGAAGGAAATAGGCACATTTGTGCGTAGCTTTGGCCACGTTCTGGGCGTGTCCCCCAATCCCCTCCCAGGCCGCCTTTCAAAATGTTAGGTGCTGAGTCTGGGCTACGTGCAAACCAATTCGGAACTGCTGGTTCAAAAGCTCATGGGAATCGCGGTTCAACCACAGGTGCAACCGAAGTTGCCCAAGCTCTCCCCGAAAATCCCGGCACCATTTGAACCTGAACAGGCTCATCATACTCTCAGATGGTCCTGGTTGTTTTCCAATTTTCTGCTGCAGTAGGGCTTGAACCCACACCAAACGGATCATAATGATCATAACCTCAAGTATTGATAAGTTGTTTGTAAAGATATCCATCAGTATCATTCCCTCTGATTAGATATGAATAGATATGATAGATTCTGATAGATCTTGCCCGTCACATGTTCCAAAGCATGTCTCCGGCTCAGTGTTGTTGATGATTTCCATGAGCCGCCAACTCCTCCCCCACCTACCGGTAAAATGCTGGAGTGGCGGGCAGCTGTTGGGAACCCCCTGGAGCTTCAGTGCCGAATAGGGGGCTTTGAATAGTGAGTCATGGTCATAGTCGGTGTTGGAAACCTCAGATGTTCTCTACGTGTTTTCTTCATTCCAAGTGGTGGAGCTGGATGCATCATGATGCCGGTGGGGGGCCAAAATCAAGAATACAATTTCAACCTTGAGAACCAAAACCCGCAGAAATCTTAGGGTTTGAACAATACCCGAGCTTTTCTGACAAAACCCGGGGTATGTTAACCCATTCTGAAAGTACGGGTTAGGTACGGGTTAAATACGGGTTCAAAATCAATACCCGAGGTCTTCAATCGAAAACCGAGGTTTTCTTATTTTTTCCGAAATACGGTTCTTGTGTTGACCCGAAGAATTCTTAGGGTTTTAGTTCTCAAGGAATATATATATATATATCAATACATCTAGAATGCTTTATTCCGCGTAACATTGTGGAATATGCAATGTTATTCACATATATGAACATGATATAGCTGCATACAAATATGGGTTATCAACATTTCCACTAAATGTAAAAAACAATCTTGCTGGGGATGAAGTCACCGATGGACATCTATTTTCCAGCCATTTTGGTGTTGTCCCATGTTGAGTCCCACAATCCTTGTATCCGAGTGGACTCGCCACTTAGAGGACCATTTGGAGCTGGGGTTGGTGTGGACGGGCAAGGCATCCCCAAAATCATTGGGCCGTTCATCAAAGTGCCCAGATTGCAGCGAGTGACCATAGCTCACATATCATCGCCCCGCGATGCGATTGGGTTGCGCACCCAAGTCTGGCTACATGCCAGATTGACTTCTTTTTTTTCATTTTTTCAGGTGGCTAGGTCCCGCATTTTGGGGGCATTTTCTCACTCCTGAAATCATATCCACAAACATCAACCATTGACATTTGAGGGAGCTCCCATTTTCGGGACATACCCATGATTGTTTTCGACTGGGAAACTTGGTAACTCTGCTCCCTGAGGGGGGAAACAGCGGCCAAGGTCCCAACCGTTTCCTTGCTTTTCGGGAGCTTGGTGCTTCTGAGTTGGTCTGAGTTGGTCGTCGCTTCCAAGCACTTGGGTATGGGTCAAACTCTTCCAACACGACCCTTTTTTAACATGACAAAGCAGATATTTCCGCACTCTTTTTTTGGGGGAGGGCCCCTTAAATGTTGACCCATTCCCATGTCAATTTTGCAGTGCCACCAGCTATCAATCCCTTCCAGATTGCCGCTGAAGTAGCCGTGTTTGACTTTGTCGCGATGACCGAAAAGTTGCAGACATTTGGGCCAAGGTCAATCTGAGATAGGTACTGTAGTTGAAATTATAATGGAATACTTTAATATACTTTACTCATTGCCTATAAAGAAAAAACTAGTACCCAAGAATAGCCATGACATGCCATGACTTTTACAGGGGGAAATATGGAACAAACATCGATGAATGGTTGGTTCTCCATAGCCAGGTAGCTTAGGAATCCCGCCCTTTGCACCACCAATTACCATCTACTGGGCGTATCCAAAGCAGTTTGCGCTCCCAGAGCTGTGTCATTTGTGGCCACTCATCTCAGCCTTGGCTGAGATATTGATATCGTTGAGCAGTCTTTGCATGTGCAACTGAGTGCAAAGCATTTTCACATTGCAGCCACACAATTGCTACGAGGTGATTTCAGATATTTATAACTATCCATCCCATTTAGGATGATGAACCAAACACATCGCGATGTTTTTTTTGGTGTTTGGGGGGTTCACACAGGCTCAAAAAGACTCAAAAAGGATCAAAAAGGTTCAACTGTTTTAACAGTTGCTTCCGTCCATTCAATATATACACCAAGTATCATCTAGTAGCAGTTACCCATAGACTCAGAAATCCCTACAACTAACTGTCAGGTTGCAAATTCATGCAAATTCCTACAACTCTCAGACAACCACATTTGATTACCCTCTGGTAAACTAACATAGCTATTGAAAATGGCCATTTATAGTGGATTTTCCCATTAAAAATTGTGATTTTCCATAGCTATGTTAGTTTACCAGAGGGTAAACACATTTTATGATTCAACGGAGTTTCCGTATCGCCCCCCCGGACTGTCCCCAGGAAAGGTTTTTGGGCGGTGCAGTCCATGCAACGCTTCGCTGCGGAGTGGTGGCCCCAGGATGGCCCCGGTTCCGCCACCAAAAAGTGGGATGGCGGAACCATCAATGGCCAGTTGACCAACCAAAATGTTGGGACATTTATCCAACAAACATGGTGGCAAAATATTATATAGATGTTTATAGATATATAGATATATTACGGTCGCATAATGTTATTTATAATTATTATGCGTATATATATATATGTGTGTGTAGATACAAAAAGGACTATGAATAGGAACGCAATGGGAATCCGCTTGGAGAAATTCGAACAACCGGGTCAGAATTGCGGATATCCCCAAAAATGGCCAACAATTCAGGCTGGTGAATCATCAGATTGTCAGCCAGATATGGCGAACAAACTTCGAAAACGGTGAACATTAGCTAACTTAGAACATATGGCTAATAACTGGAAATTTGAAAACTTAGATAAACTTAGAACTTATTGATTTCCAGTTATTATGGAACATTAGCTAATAAACGTAGTGAACATTAGCTAATAAACTTAGTAAACAGTAACCACACATTGCCAATAAGCGGTGAATTAGATTAGCCGATGTTTCTAGTTTTTGGGATGTTTGCAACTTTACTATTTGGATATGATCAACCGAGCAACCAATCGGATGAGTTCGTTTTGCACGCGACGTCACTGGACGACCCGCAAACATGATGTTTTGTACAGAACACCATTTCGAGCTGATTTGTGAGGTTTGACATGACTTATATATATATGTGTGTGTGTATGTGTGTGTGACATATTGTGGGTTATAGCTATATAAATATAACTAAGTAGATCCACAATGGGATGAATTTATAAACCAGCTATTGGGGCAGGCACGCTATTGATGATCCACACAAATTAGATGAATTTTTAAACCAGCTCTTGGGGGATCCAACAGATGAACTGATGATTTGGGTTTTTTTCACACCTGGATCTCTTTCTAAAAAGCTTCATGAGGTAAATCAATGGGAATTCCAGGATCCTAAAATGGAGGTACGTTAGTACCATATAAGGCCATATTTTTGGGGGATATCCCCTTACATAGCCCTAAAAAATAGGCCTTATATATGGAATCGGTACCTCCAATTTAGGTTCCTAAAATGGCCATTGATCATGAGGTAAACCCAAGAATCAAACTATTCCCACTTGGGGTTTGTTCTGCGTATGCCGGGGTGATTTTGTTCATGGGCATCACTGTGGACAAGACTCAAAAAATGCTGGTGTTTACCAAGTCAGTACAGCTATCATTGGCTTTTCGCCAGTGAGTACACTCTGGTAAACGTTAACAAAAAACGATGGAAAGATCCACCATTTTATAGCTGGGTAAATCCACTTTAATAAATGGCCATGGCTTGAATAGCGAACTGTAACAGTCATTACCAGAGGATCATGTCCATTCTGGTATTATAATGTCCATTCTTTGACCATTTTTCATGGGTAAATCATGGTAAATCCGATATTTCTATGTCCATTCAGAGGATAATAGCTATCCCAGTATTATCCCATCATCCCAGTGGAAAACCACCGTGGTTTTCCGCCCAGGGCCGAGATCTCTGCGGAATTGAGCCATCAGCAGGGAAGCCCCGGGAACCGAGGTGGTCAAAAGATGTTCTCATTGTTACCCTCTGGTAAAACATACCAAAAAACCATGGAAAGTCAGCATTTTTCATAGGTAAACCCTCTGGTAATTTGTTACATAGCTATTGAAAATGGCAATAGAAATAGTGGATTTACCCATTGAAAAATGGTGATTCTCCATAGCTATGTTAGTTTACCAGAGGGTAATCCACATGCGGAATTTTGTTGAATCTACTTGGAAATTGTTGATGAACATTTTGGAGATATATTTTTTGTGGAGGACTTCAAATCCAAGATAACCCCCAAAGTAGGTTATTGTTAGTGTTAGGGATGTATAATTTTGACTCGCAGTCACATGAAAACCACACCAATGATATCCAACGTTGCAGGATTCCTCTACTGTAAGCATCCTACACTTTGAATCCTTGGCTGGCAACTATGTATTAATGCCCCTTACCCAGTTACTGGGATGCATGGCACAGAGAGTA